TTACTCCTCCTATGGANACCCCATGACTACACTTGTGTTACTATGGGTTATAACACACCTCCCTTAGTGTATATTTGCATGTACCATCATGTGTATATTTTTGGGCCCACCCAGACCACCCTTGGTGACTTGGCACCAGTCATCCTCAAAAACACCTATATCACACCACCCCGGGACAGCCAATGCACCTATAGTCATGGAAACACCTCTAAACACATTATCAACGATGCCCCCTACAGAGACTGATATTGGAGTAAAGTATGTACATAGTGTATATTATGTGAGCCTGCACCTTACAACCCTTGTCCAGTGCATCCCTCTTTGCGCCATCATTACCTGTAAAAGCTGCCATAGTGTATCCACCCTGTCGTACGACAACATCATTCAACCAGCTTCCCGGGCTGGCTACAATCACTGCCACACAACTTGCGACAAGACCGCTGCCAATGATGCCAACCCATCCCCAGCTGTCTTCGGCGGGAGGGAGTGGTGACGGAATACATTTACATGTCGGCCCATTCATCCACTCATCCAACTCTGCCGCGTAACGGGTGAGTTGCGATGTCTAGTAGACAGATGAATAGGAAAATCAGGATTGTGGACAAAGTTCCATACCGGAAATGCCGGGCAGAATATCCCGGTGAGCCCTACAATCTCCCAGAGGTATCCAATGGCGGCAACTATAGCTCTAAGGACTCGCACCAGACTGCGTATTGCTGCTATTGCCTTGGCCAGGATGGCACTTGTAGACTTCTTTGGCGCCTTGTACCTCCAAAGAGAGATGTATGGGTCAGAGCCCTCTGCCCACATTGCACCAGTGATGATGATATTGTCCCCGACGTCTTGTGTCTGCAGACTGGATTAGCAACCTGGACCATCTGTAGACAAAGTGATGTACCGCGATTGTCTGCCCCGGTGATAAGCCTCAGGATTGTCTGACCCCTGAAAACTCGGACTCAGCGCATCGTACAAGCCCTCCGGAGCTTATTCGACACAGCGCTCACATGCCTCTAGGCTTCTATGGGCTCTAAAGACTTGCTCTGTTTTAGCTCCGGGCTTCCTAACATCCTTGAGGCGTACACGGACCCATTCCACGATTTATCTCCGTGAACAGGAGCTCCGGAGCAACTTAACCAATGCAATGTCTAGATGAATTAGCTCCGGGGCCCGCGGGCACTTCTATCGAGGGGCATCATCCTCATGCCCACCCTCCAGCACTCACTCCCCCTCATTTCCGTCAAGATAGCAAAGGTGCGGACGCATACGAGTCACCATGAGGTCAGCATCAGTCAGCAAGCGGCCGGAGGTAATTAGCACGTGACCGGCGCATCGCACGGAGTGATGGGACCGCTTGGATCAGGTGGCAGAGCATCAAGGCGACCTCTAGGGGTTGGGACGAGCAAGTAGGAGTGCAAGGGAGTCGTATGGTGCATGGTATAGCGGCGGCAAGTGCTGAGCAATCCTGTGGGTAGCGGCGGTTATTTGTTATTTATCTCCGGATGGTCGCAATGCCATTCCTGTAGTATAAATTGTACAAAGTAGCATACAGAAAAACAAGTTTCGACTTCACCATCTCAGAGAATTAGCATTACGATCTCAGCGACCCGAGAAGTTCGAAAGCGTTGAACGTAGCAAATTATAACCGATCCTAGCTTTGCCAATAGGCCTGACTCATCGAGTGAATTATCTCCGCCATCGATTCAATTAGCTCCGGTGAGCCTCACATAGCGAAATAAAATTAAACAAGTCTTTCTAGCGTTTCTTACTTCCATGGGCCCGAACCTACACTCGGTTCCGTGGTTTGCGACTTTGTTTGCGACTTTCTGGAGATAAATACTCTGGAGCGTCCCTTAGTGTTTGTTTCAGGCGTCAAGGTTTTTGTTTTATTTTTCTAGGTCTTCCTACGGACTACCCTACGGTGTCTTACTCCTCCTTTCCCCCTCGAACTATTAAATACCCTTCAGTTGTCTCAGACCACCTTCACCCATATCACGGGGTTTAGGTTTATTTCTTTTGGTCCTTGGTGATTGTTGTGTGTCTGTGCATATCACCGGTCCACCGCTGGAATGGCTGTACTTATCCATGACAACTCCAGTCGTACGGTCAAAGACATATATAACCCCGTGGCCGCTACCTCCGATAATCATGGCGTCATTGTTCGCAAAAGCAACCTGCTTCAGCCTGGACACCTTCACTCGATCAGTCGGCAATTTGACAACGTGTCCATCATTCTCAAGGTCCCAATCGTCGAAGCCATCGATACCATTGTCAAGAACATACTGTCGGCATTTGTTGCTCACTGCAACTCAGCCCCTAGAGTAGTGGTAAGTACTCAGTCTCATCGGCATTAAATGCATGAAACATTCTGACATCATTATGTTTGTAGTGCTCCTAGACAAGAGCCTGCCGTCATTGCCTCGCAGTACACATCTTCCAGACACTCAGTCGCACTCTCTTACCATCATAGTTTGAACCCTACCTTTCCTCATATATACCAAAGACAAAAATGTCCTTGGTAGTGTTGTCTTTGAATGCAATGCAGATCGGAGTGATCCTGTCAAGGCCAATTGAGAAGACAGAGATTAGCCTCTCCTCTGCGTCGAAAGTCCATACATGTATGGAACCATCTCTGGCTGCAGACGCTATCCTGCACGTTCCAGCGTCCGCTGCCAGGCCCGCAATCTTATACCCATGGCCCATGCGGTGGGCGCATAATTCCTTAAACTACAGAGCACATTCAGTGATGATCTATGCTTCTGGATTTGGCGTACCTCCATGGAATTCTGCCTCCAGCAGGCTAGCCATCCTAAGGCAGTGCCGTAGACAAGGGTCTCACCAATCTCCCGCTCCAACCACACAATACTGCTTGTTGGTCCCCGCAGTCCCGAGGTTAGAGGTGCAGCTATGCACGAATAGTCTCTCAGGCTCCATAAAGCGACACCATGTTCACCTGAATCGGCTGCATTGGTCATCGAGACGCAGTGTAAGGCATTCCCACGTACCTCCACTGGCCAAAAACTTGGTGGAGGGTGAGATGGCGAGGGCAAAGATTGGGCCGCGCACACCGACTGGTTCCACAAGTTTGATAGGTGTAGAAAAGTCCAAAAACTGCGATATCGTGAACATTTCGGTCAAGTCAATAGCTTTGGCCCTCCCCGAGCCCTCCTCTATATACGCCCAAGCTATTTGTTTTCCACGGCGTGTTCCGTTGCTCCTAGTGAGTTAGGCTCTTGCTAGCCCGCCCCAGTGTTACTTCTGAGGGCATTGTTTTCCTTATGCCATGCATCAAAACGCGAGGAGCCGCCTTCTCATCTTGATTCTGGCAAGACAAGAGATCTCCCATTACTTTGCTCTATCCTTCGTGTCAACCGGAGCGCTATAAGTGCATTGTCTATCATTGCAAAATGCAGCTGTCTCTCTACCACGCGTTCCCCCTCCCCATCTCGATCCTAGCAAGACAGGAGACCTTCCATTGCTATGTCGGATCCTTCGCATCAGCTGCTGCGCTATAAGCACATTGTCTATCGTTGCACAATGACAATCTGAGGATCTGAGGATTTCTTTATTGGCCCATTGTTCATGGCACTACAGTGCACATGCTGGGCCGCCAGGGCGGGCTTAGTTTACCTTAATGCCTGCAGCCGCCACTCCGCTTTCCAATGCCACAGTGCCCTTAGAAAAGGCGTTGGGACGTTTGGGCAAGCTAGTTCCTGGATGTACCATGGCTTTGAAGACACCTCCAATGTTTGAACCCACCGAAGTCCACCCTGTGGTGCCCTTGCTGGTAGCGCAGACTGACGATCTGGACCGGCACCCTCATCTCCTCTCAGAGGAAGATATCTTCCATGTGTTGCTGTCAGGTGGGCCAGCACGTCTGGTTAGGCATGTCTGCCATGCCACCTCACCATATACTCAGGATAATCGTCGTGTTACATTCTCCACCCCCGAACAGCCTGCGGGACATGCTGGTAAGGTCGCGAAGCCTGTTGGAGAGGTGGCCTGTCTCAACAGAGATGCATACAACCTGGTCAATATATTGAAATGACATGGGTGGGATGAGAGCTTGATCAACAATGTGAAGGTGAGCCAGCTTCCTAAGTCGGAAGCGCTTGTATGAAACTTCTTTTCATCCAGGACCTTACACATGCGAAGGTCAAGGAGAGTCTTGATCAATCAAAGTCTATATCCAAGCAGGACAAGGCGAAGGTTGAGCTTGTGAAAGAGAAGGTGCAGTTCCACTGCCCACTTGATCCTATAATTTCTAACATATTGCTCAGATCAAATGCATATACATGGCTGGGTGATTATGAAAGCTGCTGGCCTGTCCATGACATGATCAAAACCCATTTGAAGTATCTCAGCTCGAAGAATAATTATAGGGTACATTCCATAATTGTCAAACTGATCGCAAACGCTTACCTGGATGTTTACAGGATGATACGCTGATATGCACTGACACACAACAATGACCAAGGACCAAAAGAAATAAACCTAGACCCTGTGATATGGGTGAAGGCAGTCCGAGACAACTGAGGGGTATTATAATAGTTCGAGGGGGAAGGAGGAGTAAGACGTTGTAGGGTAGTCCATAGGAAGACCTAGAAAAATAAAACAAATACTTTGATGCCTAAAAACAAATGCTAGTTGATACTCCGGAGTATCTATCTCCGAAGAGTCACAAGCAATGACACCTGTCGTAGGATCGTGCTCGCGGGGGTAGAAATTGCTAGAGAGACTTGGTTAACATTATTTCGCTATGTAGGACTCACCGGAGGTAATTAAATCGAAGGTGGAGGTAAATCACTCGACAAGTCAGGCCTATTGGCAAAGCTAGGATCGGTTATAATTCGCTAAGTTCAACACTTTCGAACTTCGAGGGTCGCTGAGATCGTAACGCTAATTCTCTGAGATGGTGAAGTGCAAAACTTGTTTTTCTGTACGCTACTTTGTACAATTTATACTACAGGAATGGCTTTGCGAATGTCCGGAGATAAATAACAAATAAATGCCGCTACCCATAGGATTGCTCAGCACTTGCCTCCATTATATCATACACCATACAACTCCCTTGCGCTCCCACTTGCTCATTCCAGCCCCTATAGGTCGCCTCGACGCTTCGCCACCTGACCCAAGCGGTCCCATCACTCCGTGCGACATGCTGGTCACGTGCTAATTACCTCTGGCTGCTTGCTGACTGATGCTGGCCTCATGGTGACTCGTATGCATCCGCACCTTTGGTATCTTGATGGAAACAAGGGGGAGTGAGTGCTGGAGGGCGGGCATGAGGATGATGCCCCTTGATAGAAGTGCCCGCGGCCCCGGAGCTAATTCATCTAGAAGTCGCATTGGTTAAGTCGCTCCGGAGCTCCTGTTTGCAGAGATAAATCGCGGAATGGGTCCATGTACGCCTCGAGGATGCTAGGAAGTCCGGAGCTAAATAGAGCAATTCTTTAGAGCCCATAGAAGCCTAGAGGTGTGTGAGTGCTGTGTCGAATAAGCTCTGGAGGGCTTGTACGATGTGCTGAGTCCGCGTTTTCGGGGGTCAGACGATCCTGAGGCTTATCAACGCCATCAGAGGGAGGGTCTGAATCAGGATAGTTTGATGCACCCTCGTCCGGATGGATTATTTCACATCGCCTGTTGACCAGAGACTACTAGTAATCATACGGATATTTCTCTCTCAGCCTCTGCGACCTCCTATGGCCCAAATCTCCATATAGAGATATGCAAACTGGGACAACTTCCCAGAGCAGGAGTATCGATTCGATGCTAGCACCCACTGCTGCCAGAGCCAACTGCTCGAGTAGGAAGATTCGCCTCACCTTTCACACAACCTATTCCACATGCGGCATTCCAGCGCGGTCATGCTTTGGAAGCGGCCAGCCTCTCTCCAAACGACCAGGAAGTTGACCATGAGGTCGACATATTAATATACATTGAATCGGGGCATGCCCAGGCGATTGATGACATGGACCTCTGTCATATGAATTTGACTACCTCTGGGTGCCCCAAGCGCCACTGGGATGTCTGGTAACCCTCGGAACAAACACAGCCAATGAGTCTCAGAGCGACGGTGGCTCCCGTATAACCGGCACTGGATGTACTTTGTCTGGCTTGGAGCATGTGGCTGTTATGGGAGTGGAACATTATTGTCTGGACTCTGCACTCGCAACCAGAAGGCTCACCATATTTCTGGTCGTCTGTAGTTTTCAAGGATAGGTGTGTCGCCCTGCGCCTTAAGTCCTTCCCCTTGAATCTGAGATAATAGCCCAGATTTTGTACAGATCGCTTCTAGTGACTTGCTTACGCGCGGAAGTAGCACCACCATATTGGAAACACGCTAATTGTATCTACCCTTATGTACCAGAGGGTATGTACAATGTGAATGGCGGATCAGGACAATGGAGGCATGGGTTCAGCCTGACTAGTGGGCGATGCCACAAAGAATAGTGTTGTTGACCTGCGCGGCGGCCATGAGCATGTGGTCGTAAACATATAAGACAATCTGACTCATACTCCCCACCCTCCGACATACTCGTCCTACAATGAGCGCTGGAAAACAAGATGGATTTAGACGATCAACCTCCCACACCACCTCCAAAGCCAAACCGCACTGCTGGCTGAGCCCCAGGCTAATAAGCAGCTGTCGCATGTAGCAAAGCTGAAGTGACGGGCCTCCACATTGATGCCTGGTGGACCGTGGGTCAGGGTGCAGGAGATTGATGCATCTGACATGTATCGCGCAACAATGGAGCAGCAACTACGAGAAGAACAGGAGGAGCTGCTTGCTGTGGTGTGCGCCGAGCAAGAGTGGATGCGTTGCAAACAGGAGGCTTGGAACAAACAGTTAGCTGACGGCCAGAGGCGCATGCATGAGATGATGAATGTAAGTTTCACTCCAATTAATAGTGACATATGGCCTAATGTGCATACCTGCGAAGTTTATCAAAGCACGAGAGGAGGCTGAGAAGGCAGCTGCAGAACAGGTACGTCTGAATTAGAGGATTATCGTCGAGGTGGTACCCATGCCCCTGGTATCAATAGATGCAGGCAGCACTTGCCGAGGTGGAGGTAAGTCTGATCCTTTTGTTACATGCTGTATTCTCACTTGAAGATAGGAACAACAGCAGCGTGAGCTTGCTGAGGCAGAGGTACGAGAGCGACTTCCATCAGCCCTACATTTTCTTATTTCAGGCCAGGCACGCAAGGAGCGTGAGCTTGTGGAGCTGGAGTACAGAGTCAGTAAGATATTGAGACGTTGTACTAACAATAGGATAGGCGAAGAGGCAAACAGAGCTTGCCCAACTAATGTCCAAGATTGGCGGATCGATTCATATGGCTGCTTTGCACCCTCAAGGGGAGCCTACTGTTACTATGGGCTCGAATCAGAGACCTATGTCTTCCGCCGACTTCTTCCAGGGCTTACTGCTTGACCGACCAAGAACTGCAAAGTCTTTGTCACAATGGCAGGAAGAAGAAGAACGCCTCGCAGACCCTACATGCTCTGAATATGGTAGGTGTACACGTCACTCAAGGCTCTTGTTCCGTCGATTTCTAATATACATTGTTGTAGGATCTAGATCAAACTGGACCACAACCTCCAACAACTGCTGCCCTGCCCGCTCCAGAGGTGGATGTATCGACATTGGTGGAGACACTCAAGAAACAAGCTGATGAGGCCCTCGAGGAGGCTCTGGATGAGGTTCTGGAGCAGTTTGGCCCAGGGTCCCTTGGGACCGGCTACCGCCCAATTAGCAGGGGAACTCGTCGCAAGCGACCCAATGCTGCCAATGAACGCAAAGAAGAGTACACAAAACTGAAAGAAAGAAATCCAGGACTATCTGGTATGTTCATAAGACCATGAGCAGGCGTTGAGTGATGGACCGAACTTTCTCTATGATCTTTGCAGAGAGACAGTGTGAAGGCCTTGGATATCAAGACTGACAGCGACATTGCAATGAAGCCGCGAGCTGACACAACCGCAGTGGAGGCTTACAATGATGCGAGTCCCAATGGCCCTGACCGTGACAACCTTTGCATTGATATGGGGGCGGCAGTGAAGGATTCCCGATGGAATCAGCAGCTTGTCAAGATCCTCGTGGAGAGGGCCCATATACTCTGCGACCAGCGGCTAGCAAGGGGCTATGCAATGGAGGTACGTGCTGATTGGTATGTCAAAGTGATGCTGGCGAATAGGATTGACCACCTTCGTGGTGAATGGTGGTCAGTGCAGCCCCAGTACGGGAGGGATGGTACAGCAGAGGATCAGGATGAACTCCATGACTGTTTGCAAACGAAATATAGCGGTACTCACAAGAAAGCTCGGATGCACATCTGGCACCATGGGGTAGGCATATTTCAGTCCATGACATGGGTTGTGCTCATGACAACATATACACAGAAATATAAGACGCGATTATCCACCATAGATCAGACTATAACCATCAAGTCCGAGAGAGGCGAGCAGGACACCCCGTTCTGGACCTACTTAAGGTCCACCATAGTACGGTATGGAGAAGACTGTATGAGCTCAGATGATACAGATGAGGAAACTGACGTCTTTCACGTCCGCAAGATGCCTTGGCAGCGAGATATCGAGAGGGAGCTGAAGATTGTTGACGACCAACGGGACGCTGATGGTATCAAAGACAACCGCGGCTCCAAGCCAGCACCTAGGTCTTGCGGTGAGCCTTGTGGAACCACTCAGCAACAACCGCCTGTTCGACTTCCTTCTAGTTTCTATGACTCTCAGTGGCTAAACGATCCGCAGCATGGCGTGCTAAGAAGGGACAGAGTCAGTCCTTCTGTCGAGGATTTCCAGTGGATCGTCTTAGCATCAGGGTAGAAATGTATTACAAGACATGTATTGATACAGTATTCCAATGCAAAGATGTCTAGCTGCAGATGAAACCCACTAGTCCCTTGGTATTGTAGAACAGCTGGATTGTTTGCACATCCATGTGTGTAATGTCAGAGTAACCGTGCTCAAGCGGGCCATCAAACTTCAGGATAAGTACGCTACATCCCGCCGAGCTCTTCAGATTTGTGTACCACACTTGCAGTGGTGGCCGCCTACCCTGCCGTGGGATGCTGACTTCATTGATATTGGACAGCATGACGTCAGGGAAGAACGTGGCAACGTATGGTGCAGGCCGTATCTCCAGCGAGCAATTACCCTTCGAGGTTGTAGATATGAGGCTATATTCACAATCGACATCTCGAAATTCCCTTATTTGCCCTGTTAGAGAGGTGAATCCAACCTACGCAGTCGTGGATGGTATTGCATGGCAGAAGCAGTGAAACACATTGTCGGATCACAATAATCCCCCCTGTAGTATCGCACAGCAGGGAGGACTCTAGTGAATGCCGAAGGCGGCACGCTCAAAGATTGGCATGCAGAGCCAAAAGACATTGAATGGCTTGTCGAGGAAATTATGGCTCATCGATGGAATAAAAATGCGCTACAGCTACTTGTACGATGGCAAATAGGAGAGGCTACATGGGAGCCATTATCCTCTTGCAATGAACTCGAGGCACTAGATCATTATTTGGAGCTGCAGGGCGTCAAACGGCCCGAGGAGTTACCCCGGAAAGGTGCCGGCGAAAGGTGCTCACGTCGCTGACTAATGAGCGCCTACTCGCCAGCGCTACTCGGCAACTCCCGCCAGCGCACGAACAATAGCGTGGCGGGATACGAAGCGGAGTTCAAAGTCACTTGAACTCGAATGCCGACCTTCTGCTTGCTACTCAACATCTTGCTGTCACGCCGTAACCCTATGCCCGCCGCTATCGTCAACCGAGGCGCCAACCTCCCAACTACCTTGGAGGCTTGCCATCAGCGCATCGCTCAGCTCGAGGAGACCAATTATATTCAGTTCGTCACGCTTGAAAACACGCACGGTGACCTTGAAGAGGCTCGTCACTCGATCCACCTATGCCGGCGCCGCTATCAGTACAATACCCAGCACCAAGATATTCAGTGCTGCGAGGAGGGACACGAATCGAATAGCGGCCCCCGCAGGAACTCAGGAGGGAAGAGGTTTCGCAAGCCCGACGGGGGATTCAACGAGCCCGAGCATCTGCCCAAATGTACGTCCTCATCCCTTCGACCTTCGGACGCAAGGGACGACCGTGACAGGCGGCCAGTCTCCAACCCGCCGGAGGATCGACGACTTTGGACGCCGGGACGACAGGAGTCTTCTGCGCCTGAGCAACGCTCCGCTGATAAGCCTCAGGATCGTCTGACCCCCGAAAACGCGGACTCAGCGCATCGTACAAGCCCTCCGGGGCTTATTCAACACAGCGCTCACACACCTCTAGGCTTCTATGGGCTCTAAAGACTTGCTCTGTTTTAGCTCCGGACTTCCTAGCATCCTCGAGGCGTACACGGACCCACTCCGCGATTTATCTCCGCGAACAGGAGCTCCGGAGTGACTTAACCAATGCGACTTCTAGATGAATTAGCTCCGGGGCCGCGGGCACTTCTATCGAGGGGCATCGTCCTCATGCCCACCCTCCAGCACTCACTCCCCCTCGTTTCCATCAAGATACCGAAGGTGCGGACGCATACGAGTCACCATGAGGCCAGCATCAGTCAGCAAGCAGCCGGAGGTAATTAACACGTGACCGGCGCGTCACACGGAGTGATGGGACCGCTTGGATCAGGTGGCAGAGCATCAAGGCAACCTCTAGGGGTTGGGACGAGCAAGTAGGAGTGCAAGGGAGTCGTGTGGTGCATGGTATAGTGGCGGCAAGTGCTGAGCAATCCTGTGGGTAGCGGTGGTTATTTGTTATTTATCTCCGGACGGTCGCAGAGCCATTCCTGTTGTATAAATTGTACAAAGTAGCGTACAGAAAAACAAGTTTTCGACTTCACCATCTCAGAGAATTAGCGTTACGATCTCAGCGACCCGAGAAGTTCGAAAGTGTCAAACTTAGCGAATTATAACCGATCCTAGCTTTGCCAATAGGCCTGACTCGTCGAGCGAATTATCTTCGCCATCGATTCAATTAGCTCTGGTGAGTCTCCCACAGCGAAATAAATTAAACAAGTCTTTCTAGCGTTTTCTACTCCCGTGGGCCTGAACCTACACTCGGTTCCATGGTTTGCGACTTTGTTTGCGACTTTTCGGAGATAAATACTCTGGAGCGTCCATTAGTGTTTGTTTCAGGCATCAAAGTGTTTGTTTTATTTTTCTAGGTCTTCCTACGGACTACCCTATGGCGTCTTACTCCTCCTTTCCCCCTCGAACTATTAAATACCCCTCAGTTGTCTTGGACCGCCTTCACCCATATCACGGGGTTTAGGTTTATTTCTTTTGGTCCTTGGTGATTGTTGTGTGTCTGTGCATATCACCGCGACGGCCGCGTCGTTGTCTGACGCGGGCTGGGGTAGAGCCTCGGTGCTTGCGTCATGGTCTGCAGGCCGAG